GGGGGGTGCAGCCACCGCCACCGTTAGCGGGGCCTCCCCGGCAGCGTCCCTCAGGTGCGGGACGTGGCCGCTGGTTCCCAAGCGAGTCTGAGGCGGAGGGGGGGACCCCGGCCTGCGGTGGCTGGTGTCAGGGGGACATAGCTCAGAAGCCCCTTTATTTCCCCTTTGTAGGTGCCTCCTGTGAATACAAAAAGCGTGTCGCTATCTCTGTGAGATGCCATTTCCGAACCTGATAAACCTCATTTAGGAGAATGAGATGTGTTAACCCAGTAAAAAACTGAAATAGAGAACCTTAATTACAGCTTTTCTGTGCCTGTCAAGAGAAACCTCCCTCTCTTGCAGGTGAAAGAAGGGAACTGGGGGAAAATGAGGGGGAAATAGCTGAAAAGAAGAGTTCTAGAGTATTTGATGCCTAGTGGCTATTCTAATGGCTCTAACCATTCTTCTTGTGCAGATCATATATTTGAAAAAGTAAATCCTGAGATGGAAAAGCTGGGATATGAGTGCAAGTGCCTTGGAGGAGGGAAAATTGACCATAATAGCAAAGACAAGAAAATTAGGGTATTTGGGCTCTCTACAGTAAGTGCATCTCTCTTATTCCTTCAAATCCTTTAATCTCTGATGTTCTGGGACTTTTGTTTTATACTGGTGGCTTTGGCAATTTGAGTCACAGTGTAAACATCAACTGGAAAACTTGGCTGGCTCACTTGTGAGAAAGGTTAGAAAACCACTAGTTTTAAAGGCAGGAGACCAAAACAAAAACAATAGATAACTTAATGCTGAGTAATACCAACATTAAGTTAGAATCAAGCCTAAAATTGGAAGTTAGCACCTCTTGACTCAGAATCTTTTAGTCTTACTGCCAGAGCAGGAATAGCCCGTGTGTAGCCACAGGGTCTTGATCCAGCTATTGTGTGATCTTTATTTGCCAATAAAAATGTTATTTGGTAGTGACGAGCTAAATTGTGAATGTTGTTTTGTGTATGTGTTGGGCGAGAAGAGTAAACCCAGTTTAGGTGTGGAGAAATTTTAGTAGGTGAAGGTGTAGTTTCACATAAATGCATTTTGTAGGAATAAAAGGAACTCCCAAGAATAAGGAAACTAGAGCATTTTTGTTACCTGTTACTAGTCTGTGTAAGATCAGTTTCTTTATGATAGACTCGGTAAGTGGTAATGATTTCTTGAATTTAGGGAACATACTATAGTCTGTTTCTGGTGTTGCTCTGTGATGGAGTGTAACTGCTTCTGTAGTAATACTGTGAGTGAAGATTCTAGGCTTCTAATGTAGACAAGAAGAAAATAGTCCTGAGTTAACTTTTTATAGAAAGTGATGGTTGCTTCAAATCTGCTTACCTTAGATGAGCAGTGAAGACTGGGCCTTGGGTGTGTTAAGCATTTTTAAATGTTAGTGCTGCTTTTGTTCCAAGATGACTCTTGCCACCTGGAATCATAAGGAAAAAAGACCTCTTTAGGATTTGTATGGGGTGGGAAGACATTGTATAATGTGTATTCTACTAAATTCTTGTGATTGTAGGTCTTCATCATAACTGCATTTTTAGATGATACTTGACATCAGTATTATTAATTCAGCTACCAATTTAGTGTTAGAGGCAGCAGTCAACTCTTGCTCTTGTAGTGCAATGTCTATGGAAAATACCTTGTTTCTCTGCTTTTGGTACTGTGGAGCTTACAGATGAGCACCATGTAAAAGCAGAGTTGTATTACCATGAGGGCTTCTGTCAGGCAGAGACATGGAGGTTCAGAAGACCTCAGTAGCAGGTCAAAAGTTAGTATATTAATTGGTTTAATGCTTTTCTTTTTACTTGGAGATTTGTTGTCAGACTCTAAAACAGAACTATCTTGGTGTTTTATGAAAGCCACAGAAAGTCATTGACTTCTTTTGAAGTAGATTCTGTGCTATTATTTGCAAAGCCAGATGGGGTCTTCAAGGTGATTACCAAGGCAAGAGTGATCTGTAGGTCTGTTGCTTTACAACTGACAGTATAAACCTGCGGTATTTCTGACATAACTGTATTATCTGGTATTTTTGGAAAGTTTGCATTTTATAATGCATCAATAATTTTAACCTGTGCAGTTTAAATGCTGGTTTACTTAAGCTGTTCCTCTTGAGGCAGAGTCGGTGATGAATAAGAGTACATGTTTGTTTGATAATGGACTCCTGAGCTCCTTTTTTAGTCTTCCAAGTTAAGTTTCATGTGAAATATTACTGGAAAAAGCAAGTAACCTGTAAATCACAGTTGTTTTTTTTATCAGTAGACTGCACTGTTGTTGCAGTAAAGGCTTTTTGGCAGGGAAAAACTTACTTGTAGTTCTGAAATATGAAATCAAGATAATAATTCTAGTCATATAAAACAATAAGGGACAGGCACCTTCTACCACAACTCTCTTAAATTTTGGTGAAAGAGTAATACTGTGATCTGTGATTTAAATGAGGGTTCCAAATCACATGGGTCATCTGACCTTGCCTTAGTTTGGAGCTGCAGTGGCTGAGGAGCACAGATATGTCATGCCATTACCAGCTAAGGCAAGATTGCAAATAAATAAAACATGATGACTGGGATTTCTTTAGTGGCTAGAATAGTACTCAAACGTTCACACATGTGGTGGCTTGTTCCCATTTCCTTCAGCTGAGCCAAATCAGATGTTTCTATGTTCGTACATTAAAGTGGGTCAATGCAATCTGTGTGGTTTAGAAGAACATTCAATAAATATGGTGGCTGAGAGGTTGGGAACGTTTTAAAACAAGCTTCTGCTGGAGAAATCATGATGTGAAAAGTGTATACTCTATTACTTGAGATTGCTTGATCCCATCTCATTTTCTGCAACTCAGGTTGGGGGTGGAATTGGAGAGGATGATAGAAAAATAAAACATGATACTGCAAGAATAACTCTTTCAGAACCTGTATTTGATTTGTATGTGAACTACTTGAAGTATCAAATCATAACTGGATAATTTGTGTTGACAAGAACTGAATGGTTCTGTGGACTTTCTGTACATGTCTAATACACATTTGTTCTCTCTTGCAGGGCTATGGAAAAGCAGATCATTCGGTGACTGTAGAGATACTGAAAAAAGTGTATACAGATTATGAAATTACATGGTCAGATGACAAGAAATAAATTGGCTGATTATGAACACAACAGGCAGTTCAAATCTGGTAACTGTGAGTTGTACTTTGATAAATAAAATTGAATGTGTCTTCTGTGTATGTTACCATAAATCTGGAGTAACTGGACTCTGCTGTAATTTATAATATGGTTAGTAATCCCCAGATATATCTTATTTTTCAGATCATTCCTTTGTGCAGAATCTGTAGTTCTAAGCCTTTTTCCGCTCCTTTTGATGTGCCATCTAATTAAATACTCCCACATCATCTTACCTCCAGTTTGTTTTCATCCAATCCTGTCTTACTGATATATTGTAGGATACATCAGGATTTTGCCATCGACTTAAACATCACAGGACCAAACCTGTGTCCCGGTCTTTTGACCACAGTGTTTTCTGTTTCTTTTCTATTGCTCTTCAGGCTTTCCACTTTCTTATCTGCACTTACAAAAATGTGCATTTACAAGGGAGGAGGGGAGGGTTGACTGTTTTAATTCTTCACCAATGATCTAAATCTTTGATTTACTCCATGGTTTTTAAAATTCAATGTTTGTGTTCCACACAAGTAGTGATCAAGATCTCTTGTGTTCCTGTAAGATCCTTCCCTATGGCAGACTGATGGCAATGTCAAATTCTGACAATGTGTGTTACATTGATTCCCCTGTACTTCTTTTATTCCCCATGAGTAAATGATGCTTTTTACTTTTTTATAGCAGTAATTATCTTATAGTTAACTACCTCCCAGCCAGACCCAGTACAGCTAGGCAGTGTCTGAATTAACTTACAGCACCTGCTTCCTCCTGTTGTGGCAGGATGTTGCCCTTCATTTGTTGTGAAGTTACTTGCTACAATTTTCACTTTTGTGTTTCCTGCCAGTCTTCATTTAATGCTGTTGTGGATTTCAAGGGAGTACCTTTTGTTCTTATGCTTACATTGTTGACTTGCATTCTTCAAGAGGTTTTTGTATATAAATCCTGGTTCTTCCCTTTGTGGCGGTTCCTACTGCACTTCTCTACCAGTATCTGGTGGTATAGAGTGGCTTTTTCTTTTCAATGTGCATATGACTTTTGAAGTACAAACTATGAAATTTGAGAGGCTTTAGTCCAGTTTATATCACAAAAAAATCCTGCCGTTACTGCCTTATTACACTAATGATCCATCTTATGTCACCCTACTGTGTCTTTGTTTTGGTTGAGCAGAGAGGGATCTCCTGTTCTCATCCTCAAACCTTTCAGTCCCTTCCTCATTAGAATAGTTCCAGGTATCTCCATCCCAGTCATCACCTGGGAGCAGGATCTCTTGGTTGGCACCTATTTCTGCCCCCACATGCAGCCTGGACTTTCCCCTCCAGCACCTCTATGCGCCTTTGCATCTGCTGTTTGTGTGTCTCTTTACACTCTTGTGCAGTGGTCTTCTGGCTGCATCATTTCAAATGCCATGGTAACATTGATTTCAGGTTTGATTTTTTGTAAGAAGATTTTGATTTCAGAACATGATTAAATGCCTGTGTACCTAGTAACCAAGAATAGCATACAAGTCAATAATTTGCAAATTGGGCACTTCCCACTTTGATTTTCCTCATGGGTTTTTCCCTTAAGCTTTAGTAAAATAACTGTAATTGGTGCTGGCATAAAACCTGATTTTTTTAAATAGCCTCATTTCCCAAAACTAGCAAATAGTCTTCAAAAGGAAGTCATCAGTTAAGGATAGTGCCTGTTAAAACAAGCAAGCTTTTTAACTTAGTTTCCTGAGATGTTTTATGGCTGATCTTAATGTCTCTCTCCACAATACTTACAGGAAAGACATAATTTAGACTGGATTTCTTATTGTGATGGTTCTTTCAAAACACAAGGGGATGGGGTGAGGGGAGAAAAGGGGTGATTTGGAATGAGCCGATAAATTGAGTTACTAGCTGACCTCTACCTTTATTTCTTCATACAAGAAATTGGGCCTGATGGGGCTTATTGTGTCATCAAAAAATACTTTAAGGGTCCTCCCAATTCTGTTATTTTCTAATGCAATGTCATTTGGGGAAATGCTAATTTCCCTAGCTATTAAGTAATATGTACAAGTATTACGAGTGAAAGATTTTTATTCCAGACCATGAAGGGAAGCAGGAAACTGGTCACTAGGGTGGTGATGATTTGGCAGGTAGAGAAAGCCTTAATGTAGATTAGGGAAACTAGTAGTATTTGATGTTGAAACACCAACAGAACCACTAGCCTACAAAACTAAGTGTTGAATTCTGCTTCCTCTCAGCATGTATCTGCTAAATTTTAAGAACAGAATAGAACTCATCTGGAATTACGGAAATCCCAATGCTAATTTTGCTGATTTCACCCGAGAAAAACATCCTTTATTAATTATCATCTGTAATTCTGAAATGGGAACTTAATTATACTGTGTGGGGTTTCCTGTTTTGCAGGTGTGCAATCATTGTGAGATTGTGGCTCTAGCAGTCTTCACCTGAAAGTCTGAAAAAATCTGATTCTGTATTTGCATGAAAACAGCTATGTTTGAGCAATCCAAGAATAAAATGAGGATACTGAGTAAAGGAACAGTGTATTAAACCCAAGACAGTGAGTTTGATCGTGGAGTATTTTCAAGAGGAAACATTATAGTATAGAAGATTGTAAGTGCCTTCTTCATTTATTCATCAAAAAAATACATGAGATTCTTGTTCTTAACCATATTCACTGTCATAGTGGTCAACGTTTCTTACTACTTCAGGTACCATTCTCTGAAACAGCACTAGGCCTGGCAGGTGCAGAACAAGCCATTCAGTCACTAAGGGCAAGCCACGGTTTACAACTTACAACTGAGGTTTGAAAAATGGCAAGTGGTAGTCACTTTGTTTCCAGCCTCCCAGTTTTGACAAAAAAGAACTGTTAACTGTACTTTGATCTGCCAAAACTAAAAGTAGCCAGCAGTTGTCTATCATCAGTAAGTTTCAGAGCTGATGCAGGAAAAATTCACAGCTGTGGCAAGACTGACTGCTTTTTTCCTCTCTCTCCTACAAAACAGCAACCTCAGTAGTTTCCAAAGTATCCCTTTAAAATAGTCTACTTACAAGTGTTTCTGAAACAACTGTAGTTGTTAAGGCTGTCCTGTAAAGTACAGGAAATCCTCTATGATGCTCTCCTAATAGCAAGGTGGTCTAAAAAGGGAATCTTGCAGCGGACTTTCATAGTCTTCAGTGACAGGAACTTTACACAATAATTAAAGTGATTTAGGTCACTGCTGTAGTAAGTTTCTTTCCATCTCTGCAGACTATTGTCTTTCCTCCCCTACACTGAGTGTCCTCGCATCCGGTTTACTGCAGTGGCTGACTTTCTCCAAGTATGTATTTCTGCAAGGGTGCCCAATAAAGCAGTGCATGATGATAAGCAGTAGCTTTGATGTACATGTTGAGTTGTGTAATAGCTTTTTGTCAAGTTTTGGTTAAGACAAACATGCAATGGATTTTTTTTTTTGGTGTGAATTGTTGGTGACACCAAGCACTCAGGACTGGGTTTTGTAGTTCTTTGGGTTTGTTTGAGTTTTTGCTAAAGTAATTTCAGCAACATCGCTATCTTCAGCCTAGAACACAAGTGAATGTACACAGGCTTTTCTAAACACTTGCTGCCCTGCCACACTGCTGCAAAGATTGAAGAGGTGCGAGTGTTCAGTAGTACTGCCCAGCAAGTTTTGAAAATGGGTCATAGTGTATGGGCAGTTAGTTTCTGGAGAAAATCTTGTTAAAAAATCAGTACAGCCATCTAGTTAGCAATCTGTGCTAATAGTGCAGTCTGTCTCCTTTCCCACTTGTCACCTAAAGCTCAGTTCTGTCATCCTCCGGTTTCCTGGACTGCATCTGTAGGTTTATTGGGTGGTTGTTACAAGGAACTTCTCTTGTGTAGAATCTTCCACTCTGCTTCTAAAAGAGAAATGTTTTATCCCTTTCTAAAAACAGTATGGCTTTTCCCAATTACTTGCTGAAATTGTCTTAGAGTGGTGTCAAAATGTGAAAATTCACAGGCAACAGTTGTAAATATTCTCTGGTACACTTTTTTCAAAGGCTTGAATGAAAGTCAGGCATGCATTACAAATGGAAACATTACAAAGATTTGAGATTGCTAGCAGAATAGAACCCAAGTGATAAATGCAATCACATCCCCCTCTGGTGGCAAAGGCACTCCATTCTGCAGTTAAACTGCATCCGAGTTGGGAGCTTAACTCTTGAGAACCACTTCCCGCACTGGATTAGGATGCGAAGTGATCTCTTGTTCAGGCTGCGCTCAGCAGCCCCTCCTGTGACGTACAGTTCTGGCGCTGCCAAAGAACGTGAGAGGGGGACTGGTGACAGCACCTTGCTTAATTTTTAAATACATACAAATGACAATTAATTGGCATAAACAGATGCTGGTTTAAGCAGAACTCCATTTTTCTATGCTGAATCAGAAGCATCCTTCACTTCAGACATCAGTTGTCGAACATTTCAATAACAAGCACCCTTCATTTGTCAAACCAGAATAACGCAACAGAGCAAAAGGCAAAGAGATAGGAGGATTAAAACATTTTGTCTTTAAGATACTTTTGAAGGACCAGCGGTTACATTTTAACTGGAATTTTTAAAGGCCATTTCCATAATATATCGCTGCAGTCCTTTATCAATTATTTTAACTATGCTGGTCCTGAACACGTTTCTGTCTTCAATGAATTTCTCAAAGAGATGGATACCACCGCCAACCCCAAAATAATGTGCTTTGCTTGCCAAATACACTCGGCCATTTTTATCCAAGAGCTGAGCCAGCGTATCATGCAAAGCACTGTAGTAGTCAGGATTATAGATGGTCTCAGATGTGAGAATTATATCATATTTTGAAAAGGGTTTGTTGCTGCTTAAAAGGAGCTGGCTGACTGCAGACCACTCTCCAGAAAAAAATCTGCATTTCATGAGCATATCAGGCAAGCACTCTGCTTTCTTGGGCCTCTTCAAAGGAGGCTTGCTAGTTTTTCTGCCACCTCCACTGCCCATTCTACTGCCTTCATTTATACAGTTAGCCACCACATTAGGCAAGGTTATTTCATTAATCACTGTGCTGTTGTAGTCCTGAAAATGGACTTTTTCAGCTTTACCCCTTAAAGCAACTATTCCCAGCAGTCCAGCCCCACAGCCAAGATCCAATACAGTCTTGCTGGTAAACTGTATTTCAGCCTCGCAAAAGTAGTCTATGAGATCAAAAGTGCATTCCCAGATTTTCAGCCCTCCCTCATAGACTCCTGAGATGAGATCAGAGTGAGAAGAAACGCTTTTAGACACAATGCCTTCTCTGTCAGCGCCATCCAAACACATCATTTCCACTACGGACATGTTTATGTAACACAGGTCTGATACTGTCTCCATAACTTTATTTTCCAATACTTTGTTGAGATCTTCTGGTATATCGTGCTCCTTGGCAGCTTTAAAGCAGAACTTTGTCTTTGATGGTGTCTCGTTTTGGTGCTTATCAGTTCCCCGCCTTGGGCTGGAGTCTGCTACGGCATCAGCAGTTTGCTTGCTCTTTTCTGTAGATTCCTGCTCGTTTTTTGGAGAGTGCAGCTGCAAGTCCATCTTATCATGAGTGTCTGGTTCATTGTTCTCATTTTCATCAACAGAAAAATTAAATCGAAAATCCATTTTCAGGAATAACAGTTAAAAAAAAAAAGATTAATTTATTACAACCAGAAACGCTCATCTAAGAGCAATACTTGTACAAAGATTTTTTTTTTCTTCTGTTTTTTTTTTTTTGTAGTAGATGTTTTTATGTAGTTACCGCTATGGGGTAGAGTGCTTTGCAGGCAGAATACCAGATGTTTTGCCAACGAATCAGGTGAATTGCTTCTGAAAAAAAATAGTTTTGCGTATCGTTAAACTGCCAAATATTAGCACAAACCAACCGTCTAATTGCAGAATCCTAATTTTCATTAAAAAAAAAAAACCAAACGTTCTAAACATTGACATTTATGAAAAAAAATAGTGCTACAAGTGACCACGT